TTATGCGAGTCAAAATTTATCGAGCGTGAAATGCGTTTCCTTTAGAACACTGATCGCTTTGGATGTCGCACAAACAACATAGGGCGAAGTCTTATAAAGATGTTATCTATCGCAGACGTATTACATTGAAAGATACCAGACCCTATTTTCTTTTGGCCGAATGAATATAATTTTTCTTAAGCTTAATTAAAGCCTCGGTTGAGTTTCAGAGAACAAGCGAGTTGTTTCATTTCCTCTTTAATCAAGCTGTACGAAGTAATTAAAGTCTTCCTTTTAGGTTATAACTAATACTTCCACAGCTGTCTACGGTTAATTTCATTTGAAATGAACGACGCTAGAATACGTACAATTACTTAGTCCGAGGAGTTGCCCTAGGGCCTTCCTAACAACGAGCAGCAACGGAAGTATGTTAGATGCGATTCAGCACTGTGATTAGGTAATTTAATTTGAAATCATGCTTCAGTGATCTAGTCTTATATTCATTACTAGAAAAAAAATATTAGTTTATAAATTAGTATTTAAATTATTGTAAAAATGATTCTAATTAACCTTGAAGAAAAAAGATACATGTAAAGTAGTTGGAGTCTGGTAATGGTTTCTAAAAGGGGTAAAGTATTCATGAGAAATCGTGTAATAGTTCAAGGACATATTAATCCCTCTTTGAGAAACGATTTAGGAAATTTAAAGCTATTTGCACCATTATGACATTATAATTTGTTACCAGTTGTAGTAAGTATTTCATTACCTTTCTTATCCAGCTAATTGATAATGTAATTTTTGTCCCATAAATGGAAGCTTATTAAAAGTTTACTATTGCAGCTACTATCTTTAATATGAATGAAAGGAGATAAAACATTAAAAGTACATTACTATTCCTAGCAATTTCTTTTTCCCATTAAAAGTCCTTAGTCTTCAATTAAATACTATTTCTCCAATTATTACTAGTTTAAGTCTTTAAATATAGGGTTGTAGCCAACTTTTGGTAGCATCATCATTGTGCTCATTTTCCCCGCATAGCAGTTATATATTTCCAGTTTGAAGTGTGGGGTTGATGTTATATCCAGTTAATGGATACGTTGACCCCGACGACCCTGAGAGGGTTGGAGGTGATTCTGTGGCGTCTCTAGCGAATCGTAGGACCATAGGACACAAAAGTTAATATTAACAATTTACGAATCCTTCGAAGACACTATTTACAACTTTAAAAAACCTTCTAATACAAGCAGCTGTTACTCTAAGCTAATCATAAAAACTGTTAGAAAATCTTTAGTATTATAAAAAGACAAAAAAGGAATATAACCCTGAAAAATTAAGATATTATAGTGACAAATGTACTTAATACTTGTTGTGTTTCTCGACATTGTCGGTAAAATAAATAAACCGTAGACGTTTGTGGGCGAACACCGAAAATAAGTTTCTTGAACACATTTTATGAAGCACGAAATATAAAATGTCATAAAAAAATGAACAAAGCTGTAACGCGAAGCTTTTTTCTATCGTTATTGAGACATGGGCGTAACGTATTTTGATTGAGTTTCTTAAAATGAGAAGAGGAAAATTGTTTGACGATAACATTTGTGATTTTTTTAAGAGATCATTAAAATTGAGCCGGCACGAGCACATAATATATTAAATAACGTTCAGATAAAGATATAAAGACGTTTAGTTCCTCTTCTATATGACGCTGCCTAACCATTAAATAACAATGTATCGTTTTTTATTGCCTAAATCTACGTGAAAAATCACAGGCAAGACAGTCATCATCATTTCAGCCTATCGCCGTCCACTGCTGAACATAGGCCTCTCCAATAGATTTCCAGTGCGACCGGTCCATTGCCACCTGCATCCAACGAGACCCAGCGCTTTTTACTAGGTCGTCGGTTCATCTAGTAGGTGGCCGTCCCACACTGCGCTTGCCAGTACGTGGTCGCCACTCCAGGATCTTTCTGCCCCATCGACCGTCCTCTCTTCGTGCTATGTGGCCGGCCCATTGCCACTTCAGTTCACTTATTCTACAATAAAATCATTAATCTAAATAAAAATAAATGTAGAGACTATAAATATTTAAACTGTTTTAAGAAATATGTCGATCGATTTCAATTAATTATTTGAATAATATACTTATTTTAAGCCGCGCTTAGCCATGAAACCATCCCATTTTTTTCTGTGAATACCACAGAATACGTTTATTACTTATTATTATACTTTCAATTCACACTACATATTTAAAATTTTTCTAGTAACAGTCGTTCATTTTAAAATAAAAGGAATAACCAAAATTAAGAAAAAAAATCAAAACAATTTACGTTGATTTCAAATCCAGCGCTCGGTTTGAATCTTTCGTGGTACTCAAAGTTGTTGGAGTATCGATTCCAAAAGTTTCAAGGGAGAGTATTCACGAAATTTACATGTTTTGAAAGTTTTGGATATACGCTACTATATTGCACCGCGTTCTTGAAATTTCCAAAAACACATTAAAAAATGTGAACTAGTTGATTTGACTGGACGATTAGCAAAACACATTTATGGTAAAAAAAATGTGTCTCATCATAGCTATCATTATGTGACTTTATAAATTTTTCACTCACCCTATTAAGAAAATCATTTTTATTTATTTATTAGTTAGATAGCTCACGGCCCACCTAGTGTTTAGAGGTCCGGAACTCACAGAAGTCCACAGCACAAATGCCACCACATAACAAGAGACATGAGTTCTCTCAAAGTCTAGTCAAGTTATTATAATAATATGTAGTCTATAATATTTATTTTTAAACGTATATAATCGTATGTAGTCCTAATTTGGAGCCAGATGACATTGCGTGACTTAATTTCGATTATTGTTATTATGTATTATAACTGAATCCAAAACACATTTATGAAAATTTTTCAATAACTAACGTTATTCGGAATTAAGGATTGTCATACTTTATTTATGAACAACAAGTTATGATGAATCGATTTAAATCTTAAAAGAATAATACTTATACACATGGTTCACGCTGTTAACCATGAGTTTATGAAATAAAGAACTTCTATTACAACATCTGTTACAAACTATTCTATTAGTCATGTGAATGCTGCTGAAATCGCGGTTTGACGATTGCTTTTAATTGTAACGCTTATTGCAATTTCATTACTAACGTTTCTTAAATATAGTTAAGTCATAACCGGTATTTAAACTTAGAAATTCGAATTAGATTTAGCTTAGTTTTCATGTCCATATGGCGAGTGTCCTTTGAAACATTTATAGTAATAACACAATTTTTTTATTACCTTTATAAGCTAACGAGCTTACGGTCCACCTAATGGATTCCCCATTAGGTAAAAAAATATAATTTGCGTAATTACTGGTGGTAGGACCTCTTGTGAGTCCGGCACGGTCTGCACCGCCTTGCCTATTTCTACCGTGAAGCAGTAATACGTTTCAGTTTGAAGGGTTGGGCAGCCGTTGTAACTATACTGAGACCTTAGAACTTATATCTCAAGGTGGGTGGCGCATTTGCGTTGTAGATGTCTATGGGCTTCAGTAACCACCAAGTGGGCTGTGAGCTCGTCCACTCATCAAAACAAAAAAAAGGTATGTGTCGCTCATGGATGTCAGCAATTCCAGGAGCAAATCCAAGCTGCTGTCTACCGTTAACATTTGATACCATCCGATACTCAGTTAGGCAACAATTTACGAACCGGACTAGTACTAAGAAAGCATTCGCCATAAAGGTGTTTAAGTGCCGGACCATGCACCAATTTTATTAACCGTAGACAGAGAGGCTATTTAGAAACCTCTTTACTGTGGTCATTTAAAAGACATCATACTTATTGCTGTCCAGTATACTCATGTACACTGGATTTCTTTTCTCACTTATATTGGTGCCTCTTCTATTTATTATTATTTCGTATAGGTATTCTTTATTGTTTTTAGGTACTAAATATTTAGAAAAAGATAGTTTTATAGCTAAAATATATTATAATTAAACTGTATCAGTACTCTGAAAATTAAATGTTTGGTATATACGGACGAATAGGTAGAGAAATAAGATGAAATTAATAGGGCTCCATATAAAAATTGCCTTTTTCCACAACAAAAAAATACGATGTAGAAAATTCAATGCTTGATCAGACAGGATCATTTCCAGAAACCCAAATTGGTAAACACATTAATATAAATGAAACAACTATTAATTTGGTATTAAAACTGATGTAATTTATGTAATTGTTTTAGGAAGGGTGGGGCTAGCTCTTAATAGCTAAGGACATAGTTATGTCACTAAAATTAACCTCAATTTTGTGGTACCAAATTCAGTTACAATTAACTCGGTCAAGTTACTGGCAAGGGGCTGTTGAGAATCAATTCGAAATAATAATGCGAAGATGAATATTGTATATTCCATAATTTATCGTAATCTCTTTCCAGATATTAATAGCCTAATAAGCGTCATATTTACAATGTTAGCCCAGACTTAAGATTATAAAGGAAACACATTCTCATGGATTCAATAAATTAATCTTTGATATATTTTACAGGAACATGTCTTATGTCTCCTCGCGTGTCGCTTCCTAAGCACATCTAAAATAATTAATGAAGGACATTAACTAAAGACGCTTTTTCGTCGAAATAAATAGGCCGTGCTGCGACAAGTGTTCGCAAGCTGGGGTCGAAGGGTGAATTAAGCTCGATGGTTCAATCTTATCAAACATAGTTTTGGGAGTAAAAACTAAATTATTCGATTTCAATTAAACTAAATAAAGGGCATAGAACTTAGAAAAAAAAACCCATTAAAAACCGAAATGAACAATCTATGATTAGTATCGTTTTGTTGCAGGTTTCACCAACGTAGAAGATAAGAAATGAGTATTGCCAAACGAAAGAAGATTGAGATTGGTGGTTATTTAATTGCCGTCCAAGCTCGTGCTACAGATAAATAACTTTTGGATTGTTTTTTTTTCCTTTTAACCGAAGAATTTTAACCATTGGCCCTATTGATTGTTGTTGAAGTGGCAAATGAAGAACGGCGGGTAGCGCGCCCAGCGTGGATGGTGTTGCGCGGGTGTGAGGTATGGCGGCGCGGTGTGGGGGGAGGGCGGGGCGCGTGCGTCGGTGAGATTGGCGCACGGCGTGATGCGGTCGGCGCTTTACGCAGCATGGTGCATTTATGCGGCTTGGTTCGCGGTGTTCGCGGCGACCACTGCTGGTCGCGAGCTCCGCGTGCTACAAGCGGACGCGCGCGCCGCTTTCTACTTAGGCATCGCTGCGCCTCCCTCGGCCTCCGCCGTCGTGCGCGCGTTCAACCGATCTCTCGCGGAAGTTGCACAGACGCACCTGGCCGCCGACTACCCGCTTTACCTGCGCAACATTTCACTACTCCCCCTTTACATCGAGTTGCCAGAAGATGAAAGGTACGTACTTACCTACTTTCGTTTTAAATAAATTATGCATGAAAATTTAATACAAGATTTAATTGACGATCCCATGTGAAACGATAAAAGTATTCAATCCATATTAATATTATAAAGCTGAAGAGTTTGTTTGTTTGAACGCGCTAATCTCAGCAACTATTGGTTTGAAAAATTCTGTCCATATCAGATAGCTCATTTATTGAGGAAGGCTACATAATATCGCGCTAAGACCAATAGGACCAAGCGGAGCACCAATAAAGAATGTTTAAAAATCGGGGTATTCTTCCCTTTTGAGAGCTTATGCTATATGGAGATATACGCCAAAGTAACTATTCCACGCGGACGAAGTCGCGGGCAAAAGCTAGTTTAACTATAAAAACCACTTCAAACTATCGTGTTTTATTACAAAGGCGAAATAACCAACACAGTCTATTCACTCGGCGATCAATCTTCGCTTTATTGCGTCAAGAATAGTCCAGAAACAGAACCATTCTGAAGTTTCGATTTCCGACAAGGCAATACATGTTCTGTGCGAGGCGAAACACATTATGGTTATCGTAGAAGTTGTTCTATTTGATTGTAACGCATCGAAGTTACTGGGTTCGAACCGGAAAGGCTTAGTTGACGAATTTGACTTTTTGTTAGATATCTGGTCGAAATTTCTTATGAACTTTTTTATTACTTCCATTATAAACAGGAGTTCGTACCTTCTACCTGATAGTGAGTTGTTAACACCACTCATGAATGGCAGGAATGCTAGTCAAGCCGCTATCTACCAAATATAACGTTTTATATTATAAAAACAATGATTTAACTTATCTTTAATTGAAACTAAAATTCGTAATATGTACTTGCTTATTTTGTATAACAATCTGATTATTGCGGTTCCACCCGTGTCAAATATTGAATGTACCTATTTGAAATACGCGTTCACACGCTTTGGTATAATTGGTAATCAAAAACGTGATGCTATGCATAATTCTTCAATTTCCGCTTTGGTAGCGAGATAAATAAAACCCATAGCAGTTTTAAATTCGGCTCTGCACGCTTTTCGTGAATTCACCATTACAGATTTCGAAAACACTCCCGTGATCATGAAATCTGTAATTTAGGTGAAACATTTAAATTTTGTATGTATTCGTGTTAACGTAAAGACTATTGAATATATCTCTGACCGATGATAACTTCTAACTATCAGATGAGCTGTAAACCTACAACGGTATTAGACAAAGTCGAATATTTTCAGCGCGAATATCTAAAATTGGATTGAAGCCATTCGTTAAATTGTTCGTTAATATTGGTAGCGTTGGCTCAGATATTTTCCTGCAGGATTTATCTTGTTTCAACGGTACGCCCAATAACTTTTGTCACGTAGCGAAATGGGAATGTCACGATCAAGATTGTAAAGGAACTTGGACGTGTTACTTCTAACAATAATTGTTTGCGAATAGTATAATTTTAACCCATTCCATGTATTATCTAATGTTTTTGCTACCCACTTTTGAAAACACGAGATTACCAAAATTGATTTTTGTTTTTAACTCAAAGCTACTTTTACATTTAGATCGAGTGATGAAGTAAATTTATTATTAGTAATATTGCTATAACTAGCAAGATTTATTATTATCTTGCAGATTTAAATGAATAATTAACAGCTAAAATAAAATACTGAACGCGATTCGAATATGGAGGTATTTGATTTGAGTAATGCAACAAAACGATGACTATTTCATATTCATTTATTTATTATATATTTAATTGCAGTTATAATACTTGCACTACGAATTTATTACACACCTCGAATTTTAATAGTGTTCACCATTCAATATAAATGGGGACTTGATTCTATCTCATCCGTTAATCTCAGGATCGCCATAATAATAGACTTCTTAGTTTGGGTGAATAAATTTACAAATTTTTACTACTGAGATCAATTCCATTTTACAACAGTTGGAAATTACGGGTTGTCTATTAATATATCTAATAATGTTGTTGTCTTATAGTTGTCTATATGAAATAACATATAACTTAGATTTAACTATAACATTGGAAAAGCAAAAAAATTAAATATTTTATTCTATTTTAATATTTTTTAATGAGTAAGCTATTTAATCGCTGTGTTATGACTGTTGACGGTGACAGTTCTTGAGATAAAAACGAGAAACAGTGTCGATCGATGATTCTCAATAAGGTTCGAAATAAATAAACTGTATCTTATGTTCTTATGGCATAGAATTTCAACTCCTTTGTGTCGGTATTAAATTTGATATTGCACCGTTTACCGAAATCCTTATATGATATTTTATAGACGCATTCCATGTCGGCTTTTTCTGCAGAGCTCTGCGCTCTTTGGCCGGTAAAGATACCACCAGTCACACGAAACCGTAACTCCCTGGCTAGATTTATTCTGCAAGAAAAAAAAACAAATAAAATAGGTTTTCAGCTAGATCTTAAGATGTCAGGATGCAGCTTATAATCTGAAGGTAAGAACGACGGACAATTTTTGTTTGTTAAAAAAGAAAGAAGAAAAGAAAAACGATGTCAATAAAATATACATTATTCAACATTAATTTATATAATTTATCTTTTTTGATATAAGAAAGGTTATTCGAGTTTTTTGTTATTGGGTGCTAGTAGTATTTTATTTTAGAGACAGAATTTAGATCTATAGATTTTATTATGTGGGTGGGTAGTAATAAAAAGATATAGATTGATCGTCATAGCAATTTTATCAAGTATCAAACAAATGGTTTATTTCCCAATTTTTCGGCAAAAGCGTCATCAAATTTAATAGGCGCTATCTATGTACTTCATCCCTATTAAAATACCATTCCTTTAAGTTTTTCTAGAATTTATAAATACGTGGCTCGGCCATTCCGATAAAAACAAAGTTTCCAATACGTTCACTGTTGTACCGAAACCAAAACTAAACTAAGTTGAACAACATTATATTATTACTGTTCCAGGCACAGATTATATATTTTTTCGGGTGTCCATAACTTTATTTTTAATGTCAGATCTAATTCCTTTGTTTTATTATTCAATTTCAAAGTTCGAAGGCAAATCAATATTGATTGATCTTATGCTAATCTAGTAGATGATGAGTTACCGAGAGAACGACTTTTAGGTAATATAAATAATATATATATAAAATAGAAACAAACTAAAAATCTTTCACAAAATCCAGAATCAAATAAGATACGAGAGTAAAAGAAAAGGGTTGAGATTAGTGTGGGCATCGTGAGTGTGACAAACGGTATTGTAGATGAAAGCGGACGTTTCGTATCACAAACTTGGTCCTAGATCTCAATCTTTTATCTCTAGCAGTAAAATAGTAAAGTTAGTTCAAAATGACATTTTTCTTTTTTGTAATAAACAAATCCAACATACTATTACTACAATAAAACAACAGCCGTAGACACAGAATACGAACTTCAACCTAATTTACTGCAGCCTTTACGAATCAGAGCATCCAAATATTTAAACGAACTGAATCTTAAAATCCCAAAAATCTTTACTAAGAAACTACTCTCATCTGGTCCATGGGAAAACTTTGAATTCCCCATTAACCTTGAACTAGCTAAAAACAAAAAAGACGACACTCCTCAAGACATATATAAAAACTCATTCTATGAAATTAATAGTAGATATACTGGTTGTAAGATTTTCTATACTGACGGGTCAGTTATGAACGGAAAATCAGGATGTTCAGTAGTGTCTGGTGATAATTGTTATCGATATAAACTAGGAGATTTTAATTCCATTTTTAGTTGTGAAGGGATAGCTATTCTCAAAGCTTTGGAGTTGATACATAGTGAATCTAATACAAATAAGTTTGTAATATATACTGATTCAAAATCATGCTTGACAGCGTTACAAAATACAAATAATACGAACACTCTCATTAAAGAAATCCAGCAAAAAATGATAAATATGCTTAAAAATAACTACAAATTCGAAATTATATGGGTTCCGAGTCATCAAGGGATAGTTGGCAATGAAAAAGCAGATAGTCAAGCGAGAAATGCAATTAATGAGAATGAAAGGCATATAAATAAATCAACTCCAGTGGAATTACAAAAATATTTCA